GGTGTGTATGACCTTTAATCCATTTCATTTTCCGCCAAAGTATTCTTGAGGAAGATGTTTCATCCACGGATGAACAAAATGCCTGAAAAGATTGCCCTCTGGCTAGCCGAATAGCACGCTGTGCATCTCTTATTTTGTTTTGCAGTATAACTAAGTTACCAGGGGATGGACATCGTCGCAAGTTGGCAAGGGCCAGGCGGCGCTCAGCTACCGCTTTTGATAGCTCTGCGTTCCAATAGGGTTTAGGTGTAAATTTGCTGGTTATTTGTTGGGGTATTTTTTTAAAAGGAATGTATAAATTCGCTGCTTCTGGTACGATCTTTTCAAATAAATTGTAAAATTCTTGAAGTTGTGAAGGGACAGAAATTGACGATAAAGCGTTTTCTATATAAGACGAATATGCCTTCCAGTTACTATTTTTGAAATTTCTTTTTATTTTAATTTTTTTAGGGATGTGTATGCTAGCATATAGCTTAATTATCAAATGGTCACTGCCGAGATTTTCGTTTGTGGGTTGCCAAGTAAATAAGGTCGCCAAGTCTGCGGAAATGAAGGAGATATCTGGTGATGATTGCTGTAAAATACCATTAACTAATCTAGTACGCGTAGCGCAACCATTATTTCAATAAATAAAGTTATGATCTATCATACAATCGTATATCTGGTGACCCCTCTGATCAGAACGACATGACCAGTTGGGGTGATGTGCGTTAAAGTCACCAAGAAGTAGCGTTTTTCTATCAGAGAGAGAAAATAGAAAGTCCCAATCGTTTCGTGTTGTACGTACCGTGGATGGGCAGTATACAGAAATTATGTTTTCTATGTGTGGGCAGTTAAAAACTTTTACATGTATTAGTTCTATGTCCGGATTAGTGCAATTAGTTAAACATGTGGTGCACTGAATGGTGTTGTGTGTTAATATAGCAACCCCTCCATATCCATCAAATCTATCAGATCTATATATGTTCTAATTACTTATACGAAAAGCACTTCCTCGCTCCAGCCAAGTCTCACTCAGGACTGCAATGTGTACCTTTTCTTGTATTAAAAGAGTTTCGAGAGATTAGGATTTCGGCCTTAAACTTTGACAATTCCATTGCATTATGACAAAATTTGTATTGACACAAGTACTATCCATAATTAACAAGGCTATTAAAAAGTGAACTAACAGAAGTACAACTCAAAATTTTTGACAATATCCAGTCTGTGCAAATTGAAACTACTTGTTTAATTTTGTATTCTAAAGAAATCTTACTAAATATAATATTTTTTAACTGTACAAGAAGTGGTAAAAAACTTAAATTTTCAAATTTGTTATTGAAAGTCTTACTATGAGTCTCTTTTTCAACCCGAGGACAGTCGTCAGAACTTGTAAACCCCGACGCCTCTTTATTCCAGTTAGTCTCCCTGCAATCTGCGGCACTGGAAGATGGGGGAGGTGGTAAAGGTGTAGGCGCTCGTTGTCTCTTTTTCTTTCTGCGTGATTGCGTTGAATTAGGCTGATCCGCGATAGAAGTAAATAGTTGAGAAAATAGGCGTTCGCTTTCTGGCCTATCGTGTTGGTTATTCACGTGTGTACTTTCCGAGACTGTGATTCGTTGTGATTGTATTTTATCTTCTTCATACACCTTGTTAGGTCCAGTTAGTTTAGGAATCGGGCTAGGCGGGACATATATTGACAACGCTTTCCTATAAGTACAATTAAACTCAGACATTAACTCCCTGATCCTCCTCTTTTTCTTAAATAAAGGACAGGATTTTTGCAATGCCATGTGATTTCCTGTACAGTTGACACATTTGTAGGATGTAGTGTCGCAATTCTCGTGGCCTTTTGTACATTTAGGACACACAACTTTTTTTGATGGACACATTCTCCACGCATGCCCGAATTTCCAGCAGCGTGAGCATTGTGTCACGGGAAATATATACGGTTCTACTCTCACTCTCATCTGCTCAATATAAACATACCCAGGCAGTGATGAGGTTCTAAAGCCAAGGCGAATGGTTTCGCTTTCAATCCAATTGTGATTAGTGGCACTCGTAGAACGCGGCTCAATATTATTCCGTTTGTTTAGTCTTTTAACCGATACAATATCATAATCACTCGATAAACATTTTAAGATATCTGCCTCTGAAAGATCTAACTCCACATTTTTAATAATTCCGTAAGAGATTCCAACCTCCGAAGTTTTTTGGCTTCTCCATCCTAACTCCGTAAACTCTTTGCACCCAATAAAATCGTCAGCATCACTTGCGCATTCAAAAGTTATTAAAATTTTATTTTGGTGAACGTATTTGATGCGCTCAATTCCTTTTATATTATTTTTTGTAAACAATCGGGCGAGTGCGAATTGTTTAGGCAAAGCTGTATTGTGTGTAACTGACACTTGAAATTTATCTTGCACTTCCTGACTGTCCCTACGAACCACTTTATTCCTTCTATAAACTGTATTCCATTCCTCTGATGAGTTATCCTCTCTTGTCCTCTTGTTTAATCTGCTTTCTTCTACCTCCTCATTTGCTTGTATTCGGTCACTGCATTCCATTCTGTCCTCCGTTTCATTCACAAGGTTAGTACTATTGACACGCGTCATTTGATATTCGACCCTATCCTCGACAGCATTAGAGCGATCACTCATCGCGCACGAGCGGCGCCCCGGCCCTATCGGTCGGGAGCACGCTTATCGCAATTTTATTATTTTACTATGTACAGCAGCGTTAAATACACGACCTAATGACACGAGGTGGCACCGGCGAGTGTTTCAGTTAAGTATTATATATAATACTTAAAAATATATATAATAAGCCGATTAAGGGCTTAAATGAATGTTTGAAAGAATAAACGTTTGTAAATTTACATAAACTCATTATCAAATTACGATAAAGTAACAGTGACTTTATATGTATAGAATAAAACAACAACTACTGCGAATTACTTCTTTTTTATTTTCAATATAATTATCTACCTTACAATAGTTCAAAAATCAAATGCACACGTTAAACCACATGAAATTTTAACACCTAGGTACAAAACCAAGAATGTTAAGTATCATAATATAATATGTACCTACTGTGTAATGTATTTTACTTGTATTTTTACTCTCCAATTGTAGTATCAGCTTATGCAAAAGTGTAGACAAGTGAGGATCAGCGTATTCAAACTACAGGTTATAGACTAGGACTTAGGAATGTCCTAGTCTAGGACCTGTAGTAGTAGGTATCCACTAAGAAATGCTAGATATAGCGACTTCCATCTTCTTAAACTAGGTAAAATAGTAGTTTGCATTAACACTGTTTACGGACTACATGAAGAAAATTATTTGACATGTCCTTATAACTATTTCTAAGATAATTTTAGACATACCTTGTACATTACTTGAATAAAAAATGATCTTAGATGAAATCTAAACAAGATTAGCTTTATACTTTTTTGTAGACAAATGACTTACCAATCTTGATTTATGTTAATTCTGAGAACATGCTTACGTAGTGATATAACAGGACTATTTATTTATTTACAATATTTTTTTATAATGGTGTCAAATCATTACAAATCCTTATTAAACAGAAAAAACAGTAATGTTATTCTTTTTGAAAAACTTTTACTGCCTGTAAACAGCACAATACCTTTGTATGGTTAATGTTTATACTTCATATTCTAGTAGAAAGGCAATCAAATCAAACCAAACGTTGATTTGGAATACGTGAGATACATTTTAAAGAGTTTGAAACTAAAATTAGTTCAAAACTTTTCAAGTTTTTTCAAGTTCAATAATTATATTTCTAAAATTGCACTGGGCCATGCAGTCTCTCGAAAATCAATTCAAAAACTTAGTAAAAAAATATTTTCTTTATAAAGTTCACCGACGATATTTACATAAATTTGTTAGAAGTATACCTACTATTAACATGTTTCGTAGTTACAGACTTACAACAATCCAAACGTTTCTATTAAAACTAAACTAATTTTGAATAATTTCATTTCTAAAAACTTTAAGTTCAATAAGTTTTCGTAAATCTTTAAAATAAATTAATAAACTTTCAAATATAAGAGTTCAAAGAGACATTGCCATGTTATATCTAGATGGAAGAATCGCCTTAAAGTAGTGCGTCATTTAGCAATAGGATCAATTACATAGACATTTTCGTTTACTATAATTCGCCATACTCTTTTAAATAAATCTATAATAATTTATGGCGTTGTAAAAAGATTTTTATGCAGTAGATATTTATTTTCCTTATAAAATTTATATAACATATACTGTAATATAGCCAAACCATTTTGACACATGCTATACCTATATTCTTTTAGAGAGTAAAATATGCACATAATAATAAATTGTAATTTTATAATGAAAGCATCACAATCCCAATAAAATAAATCCAGACATCTGACATAAAGCATCTTTCAGTTCTGTGCTAGTAATTTTCCATTTCATAGTTTTAACAGTTTTGTGGATTTTGGCACTTTGAATACATATCTTCTTCATATAGTCTTAAAAGCGCCAAAATATATGTATTCAAAGGTAAAAGTAAAAAACTACGAGACAAGAAAAGTTAAGTTTAATATTCTATTGTATCGGGATTGCCGAGTTTCATTTACTCACAATTATGTATTGCTATATAACAATTTAAAACGACATCTCCTAACTGCTAGTTATTCTTAATACTTATGTTTTCACTTATATATATACATATATACATTTAAGTCAAAACATTAGCAAATACTAGATTCGCACGCATCGACGTTACAACAATAACAAACCTTGTTATTTAACGTTTTTTTTTAAGATTCTGTCAAAAGTTGACTATGAGCCTCATAAACTTAAAATATAATCCGGGACAGTCATTTGTCTACAAATACGAGAGAATTAGTAGCGTTACTGTACTGTACGGAAAATAAAATACATGGTAAAATAATATTTGAAATAAAAACACAATTTTTTTTTTATATTAATGGTATCTATTTACCATACGAAATTTGAGAAGTCATAAATCCATTATTCAGCGTCGTCGTAGCGAACTCTGCAAGAAAAATATAATTGTATGATATTAGTTTTTATATTTATACTGTCAAGAAACATCGCGAAAGTTCGATTAACAGCGCAATTAAGGGAATCGTTTAATAATAATGCAGGTTGGCACGGAACAATAAGTTATATTTCTATACACATAAGATCGAAAATAGATTGTCGCGCGATTATCTTGGTTACATTTGAAAGGAATTTGTATTTCTCAGAAGTGGACGGTTCTTTTATGAGTATTATAAATACGGACACGTCTTCGTTGGGAGTCATTTCGGATTCGCTACGCGCTCGCCGAGGAAACACGTCTCTACACACTTCGCTCGACTCGCCGCACGGATCAACAATAAACATATCGCACCGAGCGGGTTACGTGTCGTCAAGCTAGTCCGTGACACTTGCACCGTACGAGGCAATCCTAGTCGAAGACCCGGCCACCCGGCCCTGTGACCGGGGTATCAGTGGAGCCGCTCATCGTGGAGCACCTACCCTATTGGGCTGCTCACATGCGGTAGCTAAAACAGAGGCTCGGCAAGGCGGCGGGTTTATTCCAAGAGAGGAGCACGAATACCGACTCGTCCAGCGCTACCTGACAGCGCTGGAGAAGAACGAGGGTGTTTCGTGGTCCCCGCCGGCGCAGCGGAGCATTAAGGTGGCCATACGTGGGCTGCTGAGCAACGCGACACCGGAAGAGTTGGAGCAGGAACTGCGCGACTTGTTATGGTTCCAATTTTTTTTTTTTTTTTGTTGTGGTTAGATTGCCACAACTGTTTTCAATTTCGGCGCGGAGTTTGAGTTGCATCTGGTATTTATATTAAATACAGTGCTTTTTTAGTTAAATCATATCTAGTGTGTATTGCGAATTTCATAATGGACAAAAACATCGAACAAAGAGTTTGTCTTAAATTGGAAATCGCCAATGGAATTTCGTGTTCGGAGTCACTGAAAAAGTTTCAGAATCGACTTTATCAAAAACAGCGTTCAAAAGCGGTCGAGATGTGAGATGGAAGATTTGTATCGCTCTGGTAGGCCATCAACGTCTGCAACTGAAGTTAACATCGCAAAAGTGAAGGAAATAGTGACTGATAATCCTCATTCAACTATGAGAGATATGGCCGCCGAACTTTCTGTATCTCACGAGTCGATCCGTACCATTTTAACTAATCATTTGGGTATTCTTTTATTATATTCTTTTATAAGTCAACTCCCGCATTAGGAATATATCCTGTGTCGCGGAGGACTTTACAATCATACATGAAACGGACACAAAGAACACCCAGACTCAGAACAACAATTTGTGGATCACACAAAGTGTCGTCCCATGTGGGGTTTGAACTCACAACACTCGGCGCAGTAGGAAGCAGCGTGGCGACCACTTAAACTACTACGCCATCCGTGCAGTTACAGTCAGTCGGTATGAATCATGTTACCGCTCGGCTAGTCCCAAAAGACCTGAGATTTTCTCCAAAAACTCAATCGCATGAGAGTCGCTGAGGACATGCTAAAACGAGTCAATTCCGACCCAACATTGATGAAACGCATTGTTACTGGTGACGAGACGTGGGTTTACGATTTTGACATGCAAAATAGTCAACAAGCTTCGGAGTGAAACCGAAAAAACCACGCCAAAGTCGATCAAAAGTCAAAGTCATGTTGACTGTTTTCTTTGACTATCGCGGTGTTGTGCACTCTGAATTCTTGCCGGAAGGTCAAACCGTAAATAAAGAATATTATTTGAGCGTTATGCGGCATTTAAGAGAGCAAATTCGACAAAAAAGGCTAATTTGTGGAAATAAAATTCTTGGATTTTGCAGCACGATAATGCGCCTTCGCACATCATTGTGCCATCGTTGTGAACGAATTTTTGACCAAACACTCAACAAATACCATCGAGCAACCACCATATTCACCAGATATGGCTCCAGCCGACTTCTTTCTTTTTCCTAAACTCAAATTACCACTTCGTGGCACCCGTTTTCAATCGGTAGAAGACGTAAAGGAGAATTCGCGGCGAGAACTGAACTCAATTCCATTTAAAAAAATGTTTTGATGATTGGATCGTTCGTTGGCGTAAGTGTATCGTTTCTGAAGGAGCATACTTTGAAGGTGCTAAAATAAAATTGGATGAATAACAAACATTTTGTGTATTATTGATCTTTTCCCAGTACTTTCTTGACAGAGTAGTAAAGCTCACCATCTCCTCAGCCTTCGCCGCTGCACCCCTCCCCCAAAACAGGGTAACAGAGAGGGCGACCAAAGAAGCATTAGCGCCCACAGGCGGACGGATGCCCCATAAAATATTAAAGAGATAAAAGACCCTATTCCAGACCTTAACACGTTGAACGCCACACAAAAAGCAGGTTGTTTCATTGGAGCCATGGGGGACACCGGTGGGCCAAACCATGTTAAGCTGTTGGAGCCACGGGGGTCACCGGTGACCCAAAGGAGGACTTCGATTCAAACCTGTTTTACAGGCCACCAAGCAAAGATATCATAAAAAAATGTTAGAGAGTGAGCCGCGTGGCCCTATAGAACAATCTAGTAGCTTGGTTTTCGTGTGCTGCAAAAGACTTAGAATATATTTTCGATTTTCATTACTTTTTTGGGGTTTTCTAAACTTCATACACAATAAACTGGTAAAAGGGGTTTTTATAGAAAAAAATAATTGAATCTCAACGTAATATTTTTATTATTGATATTGTATAAATAGTTTTTAAAAGTTTAACACTTATTTTGTTATAGGGCTCAAAAAAGAACACCGAGAACTTACATTTTAATAGGTATGACACAAGTTTCTTAAGTCTTATCTTTCTCTCTCTCTTAAACAAAGGTTAAATTATTTATTTATGGCAAAATAAAAAGTAGATACTTACATTAAAAAAAAACTGCACTAAAATTCAAATAAATCTCTAAAAGAGATCTAACAAAATCAGTCTGCTAAATGGCGCCAGTATATGACACAACTATAAATGAAAAATAAAATATTTTTGGACTGAATTTTGTTAAAACATTCCAAACACAACCACGGTTTATTTAGACAACTTGTGCAATAAGTTACCACCTTTTTTTATTTATTTTTGGCCAGTTTTGCACCCATTATCTTAGCATTTTCCTTGTAGCATTGTTGACAGGTTCGTCTAGCGTCTAACTTTCACGAAGTCTTGCGCACACGATAACTTTAATTGTTCACACCATTGCCGTGTATTATGACGAAAGCAATAAGATTAAACAATTATTAACACAACAAAACTTTTCCAAACAAATATCTCACGAACAATAATAGTATTATTATTGAGGTAATTTGTCGTGAGCGCATCTACAAGGACACAGAATAGCATAACACTCGCCGGTGGCCAAGGGCCGACTGACTGACCTTACTGGATGAACTAATTAAAAACGCGTGTCCTGCATCCTGATGACGCAATAATCAACAAATTTCGTTCGATTCGAGTGTAGTAATAGCGGCAACGTGTGACTACCGCGCCGCGTATACAGTTGATTACCGCCTGATACAGATTCGTTAAAAGATACATGACAGTCTGTATAACAGCCATGAACACCGACCAAGAAGCTGTCACCATCCTGAACAACGCTCACAAGGGCATAGCGGACCTACTGACACAACAACATGGTTAGTAAGCTCTTGAGGATTGTTCAGGATGTTTGGACCGGCGCCTCCGCAGACAGTGGCAGTACTCGCGCCGAAAGTAAAAGCCGAGTTGCGCACTCACACCCGCGGTGCGGCCCTTACCCACATGCGTCTCAACTGTATTTTTATTATTACAGTTTGTGCTGTGGCGGCCACTCCCGGCCCGAGAGCACCTGTAGGCGCATCGTGTGTGGGCGGCGATGACCGCCGTAACAACAATAAGAAGACAGCGCCTAGCAGACCGCAACGCGGTGCGGAGCGCCACTCCCTGACAAGACACCAGAGGGGGCTTGACCGCCAAGGCGGCGTAAAGAGCGAAGAAACCTCTCCATACACGATACAACCGATAGAATCTCACAAAAAAAACAAGCACATGACCTACCCCCATCTAGGGGTTGCTAGACGCCGCTGTCAGGGGGACGTCCGCTAAGGGGCGGTGTGAGGATCTCGAGACTGAGAGTGGAGTCAGTTCAGTTGGAGCTACAGTAACATCGAAACGATTGAAGCAATAGAAGTGTTTCCCAGCGACCTCGGCGATCATGCGGACTATTCTTCAGTGTTGTTGAACGTTTTTAAATGTAGTGATAATAAAGTCTCTTTAGTCGTTAAAAGGTTTATTATTCCAAATCAACAAACCCTAACACGTAACAAACCTTCGTAGATAAACATACATGCTAGCATAAATATCAGAGCCTGTACAAATTGTCAAACTTATCTTACCTCTGTCGCTGACCCCGCCGTTTGCTTAGCCGACGTCCAGATGAAGGGTCTTGCAACGTGTAACGATTGGTAGTAATTGGAGCCACTCTTAAATTGCGAGCATCTACAGAACGCGCCTTGCTCACCTGTTGAGTAAAATATGAAACTGAGGCGACGAATACAACAAACTGGTTCCCCAGGTGGACTCAATGTTTTTATACAGCAAAATCACTATAGGAAAGTTAATTGTAGAACTCGATTTCCTACTGTTTACCAGAGCATAATTTTGGTAAAATGACTTTACTAATTAAAGCATTCAATTCTAATGATGAAATATATAGATAATCGATTAAAGAAAATACGATATATTCTTGGCAGAGCAAGAAATAGAGCACTTTACAGCGAAATTACCTGAAATACTAGTTGGAGACTTGGAATTGTTTATTATTTTTAAATATTATTTATTTATATTAGCTGAGGAGCTCGTGACTAAGCGGTAACACATTCCAAATTTGAGCAGTCCTAGCAAGGTCAGTTTGTGGATGGGTGACCATTCTCAACACATTGAGACCCCTCCGTTCCTACGAGAACACGTTATGCCGTCGGTCCCGGTTGCCATACGAACATCGTTGCCTAAAAAGTCCTAGAATAGTCTATCGCCTAGTACTCTTGGGTTGTGGACGTCTGTTATGTGTGTGAATCTAGTTTGGGTAAATGCTCGGAGGATAATTTATTTGTATTACCTGATAAGCAAACAAAAATCTCAAAATACCAGAATCTCATTCAAACGCAAAAATGGTAGAACAGTATAGTACAATACGAATTATTGTATTAAAGTAATCAGTGAAGTCAAATATTGAGATGGACGCATAGTTTTTTGGTTTTCTGCCTGGGTTAACATCTGCAATATCGTATTCAACGCCCATAAGTGCAGATGTTATTAAAATAACTTTTACTTCATATACAACACTGTCAAAAAAAGCAGGTACCTTTTCTGAAATTGGTCTATATTGGTTTGGAATGCATATGTGCAGTTATTCATTTGTTTAATGCTGTGATGTATCTCAACAAAACTGTTAGGCCCGGACCCCAAGAAAGCGGAGACGAGACGAGCGGAGCGGCGATGTGTTTTACACAACCAATAGAATTTCGTTATTTACACATCTAGTCTCCGTTCAGCTTCAGAGGATACAGTCGAGCGGACATGTTAGCAAGCTAGCAACGGTAGAGAAGATGTGAGCGATCTTCTTCAGAGTGAATTGGCAGAACAGCCACAACGCTAGTACCCGAATGAGTATTTATATATTTTATTAAATTTATGTAGGTTTATGTATGTATGTTTAATTATGTATGTGTGTTTATATATTGTGTATGTCTCTGGACTCCAATGATGTGAAATTGAATATTTTATTTTGCACCTACCGCATCATATTTCTACATCACCTGAAGGTTGACTGAGAGAGAATGTCTAATGGCAGTAAGTCCGCCTTAGTATAACATGTGCATTAAGTTTTACATGTATTAGTAATACATGTTTTAGTAAAATTCGTGATTAAGTTCGAAACATATTCCACATACCGTATATGTATTAAGTATACAGCTTAACTGAAAAAAAAATATATTCTAACCTTCTCCATAAATTTTTTGATCAAATCCTGGCAATTTAAATTACTTTCGGGTTCCCATGAATCAAATTTGCTAGACCATCCTTTCCAATGAATGAAGAACTCCCTCTTACCATTCTTCTTGATTCGAACTTCTAAGATACGGTCAACCTACAAAAAAACAATAAATTAATTTACAATTTATTATGAAAATGAAGAATGAATTGAAATGAATGAACAAGAGCAGAATGGAAAGAGCTGGAGGAGGCCTTTGTGTCACAAGGACACGCCGACGCCCAATAACTGCGGCATAATAATAACAATAATAATATTGTATTGATATAATTATAATGTTAATTAATTTAATTGCATGTTAACACTTAACTATTTAGTAATGAATACGTGCAACTATGTTGGCAATAAAGGCTTAATAATAATAATAATAAAATGAAAATGAAGATAGCATTACTTTTATTTATGAAGTGTAAATCTTAACATAATCTAATCGATTTGTTTTGCAGTAATTAGTAATAAAATTAGTGTAAAAAAATGTTTCAATGTTAAACAATAAAAATATCAATGTTATAAAAATTACCAATTATATTAGAGATATAAATATAGAAAAAAATATTTTATTTTTAACCCTAATGGCTTTTACTTAAAAAAGAAATTACACAAGTCTGACTAGAATTTAACTACTATCATTAATCAACGGCGTTAATATAAAAAGCTTTTATATTAACGCCGTTTATTACCACCGTCCATCAGCACAAAGATCAATCAGTCACCACATGGATCAAATAATATTAAGTTGTAAATTAACTACGTTACAAATAATAAGATATCAAATATTTTGAACCATTTACCTCATACTCAGCATTTTCATCAGCATTTTTATCATCCCAATCATTTTTAGGTCGCTTCGACGAGACTTTTGTGTCTTTCTTGGCTTTTCTCTTATTATTTTTTTTATCTGGCTTGTCATCCTTGTTTTTAGAGTTCTCTTTCTAAAAAAAACAATGATACAAACAACATCTATATGAAAATATGAAATATCGATTTACATTTTTTATCTTCAGAACGAAAGGATACTGTTCGTGTAATTTTTATTATTTAAACAGAAGTCGTAGGGGAAGAGACAATTGCCAGGTGTAGCAATAGCACAAGGAGAGGGAGCTAGATTGTAGTGTAAAATTGTGGTCGGTGAACTTATCACTCGACTCAAGGATCGAAAATTCCTCAGACCCTAGAAGAATCAGTCTGGGTTGGCGGTGCGACGCGCTGTGGAGCGCGCGCGCCTTTTACAGTAGGTGGCCAAATTATTAGGGACAGTATCGAAATTTTTGAATTTCCTAGTTTAATTGGATTACTGTAACAAATGATTAGTTGTAGGTCTCTTATATATTTTTTCTTTGTATCTGTATTCTATAAGGATCACAAAAACTACAAAAAAATATACAAAACTGATTTATATTCTTCGTATGAGTATTATCAATATTGGTAAAAATAAATAAAATATTTTTTTATATTTAGTGATGCCACCCTTTGCTGCAATAAGAGCTTCTATGCGTCGGGCATGCTCTCAATACATTTTTTTGCATTTTCCTGGAGTTTGGAGTTGTGATGCCATTCTCTGATGAGAGTTTCAATCAATTGTCGCTTAGTGGTGATCACTTCTTTCGCGATCGCCCGTTTGGTGAGTTCCCACATGTTTTCTATTGGATTCATGTCTGGTGAATTCCCTGGCCAATGCAAAACAGAGACATTTTTTTCAGCCAAAAATGCAGTTACACTTCTGGCTTTGTGGCACGGTGCTGAGTCATGCATAAAAATGTATTCGTCATCATCAGGGAACCATTCATTGAACTGCGGCAATAACCACGTTTCTAGTACTCTCTTGTATTGGTCTTGTTTCATAGTCCCTTCCACGATGTATAGGCGTCCCATGCCTTTGGCTGAGATGACAGACCACACTATGACACTAACCAGGTGTTTAACCTTCTCTACAAGGCAATCAGCGTGAAATTTCTCACCAGGATGTCGTCTTACAAAATAACTTTTGTCAACCAAAATTTGGAAGGTAGATTCGTCGGAAAACACACCTGTAATTAATAGAATGAATAGTAGAATAAATAAATAAATTGTTATTGACCAATTGCATTATACAAAATAGTTACACTTACTCGACTCCAGTCTGCAATAGTCATATATCGATGTTGCCTAGCCCATTGGAGTCGTTTCTTTTTCATACTTTTGGTTAGGCGTGGTTTTTCGGCAGGCCGCCGTCCCATCAGATTCTCTTCGACCAACCGCCTCCGCATTTTCCTCTCTGAAATCTTTATGCCCTCTTCGTTTATCATAGTTGTTAAACGAGCAACGCCCTTTTTACGATTTTCGAGGCAGATGTTCCTGATTCTTCAATCGGTACGAGGTGTTGTAATCCTTTTCCTGCCACATTTGCCAGCACGATTTTGCTTCAAGAGGCTTTTTATTGTCAATTTTTATTTTTATTCGATTGACGAAAGACCTTGAAACCCCAGCAATAGCTGCTATATCTCTCTGGGAATGTGTGGACAACAAGTAACAACGTTTGTATCTCTCTACATTTTCTCGGAGACGTGTCCAAAGTCCTACCCATCCTAAAAAGTTGAAAATTTTGGGTTATCGTTTCGAACCATGAATAAAATGTAAACTCATAGACAAAACGTAGCAAAACTATTTTTATACGGAGCATTACTTACCTTTTGATTAATTAAGACACAAAAGTCGGTTAAAAGTAATGAAAAAATAATACCTAGACAATACAACAATAATACCGAAAACTGCGCTTTTTACGGGCAAAGACACAATTGATAAAAAACGCACGTATTCTGTGTTGCCATTTGACAAAAACAATAATAATGATACCAGTAAATATATCAGATACAATAACCGCTTAAAAACAACATCATTTATTCAAAAAAAAATAATAAATTATAAATTACATAAATACGACCACTGTCCCTATTAATTTGGCCACCTATGGTAGATTGTAGAACGGGAACACCGTGGGAACACATTACTCAACTAGATGACTGCCATTTGCGACTTCGCTTTTTAGGTCGTTTTTGAGCGTAGAGTATTTGAGTATTTGGGTCAGAAATCTGGCTGTAAGCAGTCAAAACTTAAATCGGAATCATCATCCCAGGTGAACGCCTCAATGCAATTAACAACCCTCCATGCAGAAGATGTTGCAACGCAGAGGAAATGGTAAGCACGCAATTCTAGATCGCAAAGGAGTAGTCATACAACTGACAAAGTATCTTTGAAGATACGAGGTATTTCTTAGGAGCCTGTGAATGCCCCAGGACGCTTCTTCGCTGTTTCTGGAAAGGAGAATGTTGGTTCAACTACGTAAGGGTCCATATTTCTGTCATGTAGTTGAACCAATTATGAGTCTGATTTGCAGCAACAGAGGACTTCACCAATACCAATATATTGAAAGTGGAATTGCATATAATTTGAAGGCGATAGGTTTACCGTAATATAGGGCTTTCTCGTCCCTCATCATCAACAGCTTTTAGTAACAGTCCAACGCTGGACATAGCCATCTCCTTAGCAGTTTTTGGCATACTATACCACGCTGACTGAACGGGTTGTTATAGGGTTTGTTTGAAGTTTTCCTTCTAATTGTAGTGTTGTTGTCCTGAGTAGTTTGCTCGATCAGTCGACTGTTACAACACCTTTGACCGTGACTTTCCGTATTCTTAATCCGTTAACACACAGACGTCCCTGCTTTGTTTAATTAACGTTTGATACCAGATGACATGATACTACATAAATTACAATACACTTACCTCTTCATTGAATTTATTTATTAAATCAGGGCATGATAAGGTGTTCTCTGGCTCCCAAGTATCACTGTTTGCAGAGTATCCTTTCCAACGTATTAAGTAATGAAGTTTACCCTTGATTCTCTTTGAATCAACAATTTTTTCAACCTGAAAGCACCAAATGAATAAAAGTATATTATACAATATTCCAACTAAAATAATATTAGACAAAATCATCATCATCTGCCTACCCTTATCCCAATTCTGTTTGGGGTCGGCGCAGTAATGATTCTTTCATTCTACTCTATCATGCGTCATCTCACTGTTTACTCCCTTCCTAGCCATATCCTCACTTACACAGTCCATTCATCTTTTCCTTGGTCTTCCTCTTCTCTGGTACCCTTCAATTCCCATACCTAAAACTGTCTTCGCCACATTTTCCTCATAAAGAATAATATAAGAAGAAAGCAAACTTAACACTTTGTATGACATTAGCACTTGCTCCTCACACCAATTAGTCATATTTGTCAATAAGGTGTAAAAGTCTTTTTTTATGTTACTTAATATGATGCTATGGCAACTACCATTATTAATTTACTACAACTTCAATCACCATGTTACAAGTTATTGCATTTTTGCCAAATTAAAAATTAGTTTTAGTTATACAGTGGAGATAATTACAAATCGTCTCGCACGCAGATTTGACGAGTTTCCGAAAAAGCTTTAGTACTATAGACCACATTAACACAAACATGCGACGCCGAAGTTTATACAAAAGTCTGAAGAGTATAACCTTCCACTATGGTGGGCGTTTGTGGACTATGAGAAAGCTATATTCGATAAAAACTTGGACGGTACTACAGTCTCTCCACCGGTGCCAAATCAACTATCAGCACGAAGTTGAAGTTTTTGTACGAGAACGCTACTGTGTCAGTCCGCCTGCAGGACCAGAGTTCGAAACCTATCCAACTACAGCGAGGTGAGGCAGGGAAATGTAATATCTCTGTTTAAACTGTGACACTGTTCACCACGGCACTGGAAGACGTCTTCAAGCTTTTGGACTGGAATGGACTTGGCATCAACATCAATAGCGAGTATATCACCCACCTTCGATTTGCTAATGATAGTCATGGCTGAAACCATGGACAAAACCTTAGCATCATACTCTATGGCCTTAGTAGAGCCTCTAAACGAGTGGGTCTTACAATAAACATGGATAAGACGAAAATTTTGTCAAATGCCCATGTCGCACCCACTCCAGTGAAATTGGAGACTAGGCCAACTTTGAAAAAGAGGTCTGCGACTGGTCAGCGTTCGAGAAGCTATGTGACATTTTCTAGTCCCAAATACTGCAGTGTCTCAAGACAAAAGACTTTGATCAGAGTGTGTTGCCAGTGATGACTTATGGCACAGATATGTGGTCCCCCAAAGAACAATGGAGAAGGCAATGTGCGGAGTCCAAATTCATGGAAGCTATGGACCTAATGTAGTGCTAGCTTAATTGGATCAATGTTAAGATTGAATATCATGATCCTCTATAACCTCATATCAAATAATACTTTGAGATTTACTATCTAATTCGGTCCAGCCGTTTTGAAGAAGAACAGACAGACAAAAAAAATATGTAAATGTGAACTTCTGATGTTATCAAAGAAAAGAAAATCTAATTAAATATGCATTAAATCACCTACCCACCTCAATTGTTTTATGATGCATCAAACAAGATACTATCTCATATCATATAAAAATAACACAGGACCACAAAAAAAATCAATGGAAGGTTATAAAGTTTTAAAATGTTTTAGAAAACATTTTAAAACCTTATAACTTCATAATTTTTTAATCTTTTAACCGTAATAATATTATTTTGGACATTTAGCACACAACGCCATCTAGTTTCAAACTACGCAGAGCTTGTACTATGAAAGTTAGATTGACTGATAGAATACTTATATACTTTGGGTATGGTATATACGTTGGGTTGCTTTTTTGTAAACGCATACATATGACATATACATAGGAAACACCTAATCTCTGAAACAAATATATGGTATGACCCGGGAATTGAACCCAAGACCTCAGAACAGCAGTCGCATTTGTTACCACTGCGACACCAAGGCAGTCAATGTAATGCTTATAAACTACTACCTACACGTTTTTGCGGTATCATGTTCATTAGCTTGAATGTTCAGATTCTTGAAACTTAAATTTGAATCTCGGAGCATATATTGATCAGAAGCCCAATTCTTGTAATAAAAGTTTGGTCACAATTCAGTTCTAATCTATTCTCTCTCTACTTTAATTAATTTATTTTAGATAAATAGATGGCCAAACATAGGTTTTTGGTAATTGTATCAAAAGTTCAACACAAAAGGTATTAGCTAATTATTTATAATAGAAAATGTGTTTTGGCTTTTGAACCTACAAATTTTACTAATGATTTCCCACGAAATGTGAAGTTATGAAATATTTGGAAAGTTTTCCTAAATGAATATGTTAATATAAGTGATATTTTCTTGACACAAAGATCTTGGTAGCAATACTAAGTTCGATAATTGCTTGAATAATCTCCTTTATAGAAACAAGAAATATATCTAAAGATATCTTGAAGTTTAATAATATGTTTATATTAGTGTTTTATTAAAAATCTATTAAAAATATAAATTTAATGCATTTTTAAATTTAATTTAATGATTTTTTAAATTTTTAATTTTTGAACAATATTCGTGAAAAGCGAACTAGATATTTACCTACCTACAAAAAAAATAGGAATACATTAAGCGCTAGCAAAAACATTAAAATGAAGTAAGATTCGAAAGTGATATACCTCGTACTCCTCCTCAGCAGTATTTTTCTCTTTCTCAGACTTCTTTTTTTTAAGCTTGTTTTTGGCTTTACCCTTTTTTGGAGATTCTTTTGACTTTGTTGTACTTGTAGATTCGTCTTCATTTATACCAACGTTTTCATTGGAATCTGTTTCGGCCTCCTTCTCATCCGGGTCAGTGTTGCGATCTGCCTCTGGTTGTTCTTCATTAACTACCGATCCATTGGTCGAAGATACCACATCATCGTCAGTACGGCTCTTAGATATCTTACGCATGACGAACTTTGTAATATATACAATAATGCACCTAATGTAAGCTGAAAAAGTAAAAGGAGGGAAAACCTCAGACACCTAATGTCGCTTGGCTTCCGAGAGGAACGCTTGCTTGCTAACAAAACACTATGCTTTTCATAGTTGCCAGTAAGAAAATATTGGGTAGTATGGTACCATACAAATTAGTTGTTGTGCATGATTGTTAGTAACCAGTGACTGGACTTTTCTTATTTATAGAGCTAAATACATTACTTAATAAAGTACTAATATATTTAACATACATATTATACACATTACCTGTCCTTCGGGTGATACCGAAATTAAATAAAGTATGCGTTATGAGCTTCCTTAAATAGGTAAACAATGTAAAACCAGTAGAGCATTTTAAGTTAATGTTGATTCCCGACTGCTCGACTAGGGATGGCGATTCTTTCCAAAAAATCTCGATTTTGAGATCAATTCAAATCTCAAGCTTGTGAATCAATTCACAAAAAATCGAGGTATAAAAGATCAATTTCCTCAAAATCATTTATATTTAAAAAAAAATGAAAAAACCCGTTTTATGGAAAATAAGGAAGGTACCATAATAACCGATCTCTTAGCTGTACAAATATTATAAAGCTGAAGAATTTCATTGTTTTTTATTTGTTTGGTTGAACGCGTAATCTTAAGAACTACTGGTTTGAATCAAAAATTATTTTAATGCTGGACCACGCTACGACCAATAAGAACCGAGTATCAATAAAAATGTTGTAAAAACAGAGAAAATGAATTTTTTTTGAGAGAGATAGCTAGTCATAAATATCAGGTAATTCTTTAGTTCAGATAAATCTTTTTTTTTTTTACATCTGCTGATATATGATGGATGGTTATAAGATACAGAAACTGTTTATAAAGTACTATTTTTATGTCATTATCATATTTTTAGAAGTTTGCTAAAAGTATATAAATTCACCTCACAATCTTGTCACAACTGCAATAACTAAACGTTGAAGTGTTACTACAAATTGAAATAACTTTCAAACGCAATGTTCTAAATATCTGGTAATTAAAACTATAATTGTCGATGATATTACCAGCTAAATAAATACAACAATAATCCCTGAAATACGCAAAGCAGTACAATAGTCCCATACATGCCTACCATTGTCCTTTACTTTGTATGTTATATATATTAGTACTTGTTACATTAAAAAGTTAGGAGAATATATAATTTGATATACCTAATAGTTCCCAATGCTTGATGTCTAAGCTTTTGAGAAAGAAAGTCTTTCTCTTAAGAAAGACAACCTCCGCATTAGGAATGTATCATGTGTCACGGGGAACTTTACAAACATACATGAAACGGACACAAAGAACACCCAGACTCAGAACAACAATTTGTGAATAACACAAATTGTAGTCCTATGTGGGGATCAAACCTACAACACTCAGCATAGTAGGAAGCGGCGTGGCGTCCGCTTAAACCATTACGCCATCCGTGCAGACATAGTCTGTCAGTCATACTCTGTCAAGTCTACTGGGATCCCAGCGGTTCCGCTCATCACTTTATTCAAAGATGCATCGTAATCTGCACTGCACTGCGAACTGCTGAGTGTTATGCTGTTCTGTGTCCTTGTAGATGCGATCACGACAAATTATCGTAATAATATCAATGTTGTTGTTCGTAAGATATTTGTTTAGAAAAGTTTTGTTGTGTTAATAATTGTTTAGTCTTACTGCTATCGTCATAATACTCGGCAATGGTGTGAACAATTAATGTTAAATTAATGTGTGCGCAAGACTTCGTGTTGTAACGAGTCCCGAGTAATTTTATTTTGAAAAGTGTCAATATTGGGTTGTGTGTGTAGTGTAGTGTGTGTGTGAGTGAAAGTGAGTGAATTGTCAGTCTTTTAATTTGATTGGGTTATCGGTATCAACATCCATAATGCCGTGAGTGACCTTCACAGCCGCGGAATATCCTGACATGATGTAAATTTACGAGGAACTCTATCAAAACGCATCTTTAGCTTCACGGACAAACCGAGGTATGAAATCAATCGTGTATGTCCTACAGACTGCTGAATTTTTGTAAGGGCGGTAGAAAGGTTACGAGGTAACTAAAGTACCTACTTCTTCAAGGAGTGACACGTACTGCCGGGTCCGAAGCTAGTCAATCATTCCCGAAATAAACACGTGAATGAAATCGAATTTTTAATAAATTGATTTTAATAAGCAAGTGAAGTAAGTGATTAGTAGGTGGGTAATAAGAATGTAAAGTTCACCGGCTCGTCGGCATTTCGTTTACAGTTCAGCGACTCATGTTAACAATGGTGTTCTAATTCGGTAATAATTTTATTGTATTTATTTTGTTCTAAATTTGAATTTCTGTAATTTCGTACTTTTATTTTATATTTTAACCGACGCATCTTGAACCGTGTGATCTGTTATTGCATTTTTTGTGATAAACTTTGCACCTCTCTGTATAATGGTTTAATTTGTTTATAAGCTAATACGCACTATAAATATCTGTTTCTGCATCTGTCAGAAAATGGGTGCTGGGCAATTCTTTCTTTAGGCGTTGCTTAAGGCTGAGTTAGTGAGGTTACCGAAGGCCCAATCCGCTCCTCCCCCCTTATTCAAGAGGGACACTCAAAAGGTACGCAACGCATTTACGTTTCTTAAACTGCAGGTGACCATGGGCGGCGGTAGTCACTTACTCAGCTTTATATTACTCACTTCTGTCTTTTGTACAAAATCATTCACAAATTGTAGGAAAGGGCCTAGAAAAATGTTGTCCCTCTTAAACATCAGTCTTGTCCTTGTCTATGCACCTTTGAAAAAAGCGACCGATCCTTACAGTACCTTTTTCTTGTTGAAGTGGTGGAAAATCCCTACTGATCTCCGGAAAACTTAATTCAAAGTAACTATAATAACGGTAATTTAATACGAACACCCGAAAATAAATGGCATATTAAAAAGTATCTTAATCTCATTTTGCTGAGTATATAGTGGCTGACGCTCTGGCTGATTAACACATTCACGTTACGTCACAAAGGACGTACCTACAGTTGATTAAAAATAAATTAACACTAGGCCTTCATGCATGAAATCAGAACATAACATAATTTTAATAATTTATGTTATGGTGTGAAGCAATCTTGTAGTTTTATAGAGATCTCGTGTGCCTAAAAAACCCTTTTTTTTTTCTAGTGTTGAATAGTACATGGCTGCACGTCTCTGCACCACGAGATCGATCTAAAGCACACCCGGAGGCTCACAGGCCAAGTGGAGCGACAATTTGAGCAATATGGCTGGCATGAGTTGGATTTGAGACATCAAGGATCGAAGCAAGTGGCTTGCAATTTAAGAGGCCTATGCCCAGCAGTGGACTGCGATATGCTCATGATAAATTTCTTCTTTACTAACTTGTGAACTCTAGCGTATATTATGTTCAAATATTGATTTATTACTTTTTATAAAGCTTTCACTGGAATTTATAATACATAAATTATGATTATACAATGTAACATTTTACATGTTTGTTTTATTTTATTCTTTTGTGTTATCACTTATAAGCAAAAAAGTCGTTATTTAATGTATATCCATTAACGGTTGATAGTTTTTGTTGTAAGAATGACGTATTGCGGGTAAATACATTTGCTAGAAATCTTTTTTCTACAATAATGACATAAGTCAAGACTACATAAAGTTTTTAATTTATTATCTGAAAACACTATACCTATGTAAAACAATACATTTTCATTTTATTTGAAAGTAAATTAATGTACAAAAACAATTGAATTTTGATTGGAAAGCCGTTTTTTTTTGTAAAATACAAAAGGTTCAAAGTCTCAAGCTACTGTCTTATAATATATGTTTTTTTTTGTTGTGTCGGTCTTGCAATAAATGAGTGATACATTACTCACTCGATGAAAAGCAACGAAAAGTCAAGTAGTGCCGGCCGAAGATTTGTGCCAAATTGCTAAATATTGGTTCTCCCACAAAGAAACTTCGTTTTCGATAATTTGACCTTTTTCGTCATTGCAATGCAAAAATGGATTCATTCACACTCTCATTACTCTTCATGAGATGAATCAGAATCTCTGCGTTAAATCCATATGCAAGGAAGTACATGAACAATTATAATAAATGGAATGTAAATGAAAATGTTTTACACCACCACAAAACGATTTTGGATGGTTTTACTAAGGGAAATATTATTGAGATCAACGTATATCAATCATCTCTGCCACTTGAGATCTTTCTGGAACTAAATATTAAGTCCTACTCAAGTATATTGCTTTCGATAGTAAGAGCTAAGGGCCCGTCCGTACAGCGATATTTCATTGTTTTTATTCGAAACCAAATAAATCTAAACCGTATCGCTTTCAATTTGTATCAAGTCAGGGATAGTCCTTTATGGAGCCCATGTGTCTCAGACTGCAAAAAAAGGGGGTGAAATATCGCTATATCGACGGGCCCCAAGAGTTGAATTTATAGAAATTGGCAACACTGATTTTAGAAAGCTTTATGGTATAATGAGTAATGACATGACAGAATGACAGACATGACTACTGTACGTATATGACAGCATGTGCTATTTGCATTTTTCATGGAAGTAATAAGACTGTTTCTAAAAATACAATACTCATGGTTGAACAACCTCACCTATTGCCAAAACTGAAATATGTGCTAATATAAGTATACAAACTGGAAATAAACACAACGATTGAGAACATATTTCGAAGTTTGAGTCAAGTGATAATATAAACAGTGTATGTCAATGAAAATTTGTAAACCATGACAAGTCGAGCTAGTTTTAAAAGCCCCCGAATGAACTTTAAAGTGCCAAATGACCCGATTGAACCCAAGGGTACTAAACCTACACGTGAAGAATCGTCGATATTGGAAATTTTTGTCTTAATGATTGTGCATCTTTGTAAAAAAATTTTATTCTTCGACACCAATTTAAAAATAGCTGTATACTTAGGTGCTCTCTTTTTACTATCTATAATTGCAGATGTATTGACTTTTCCTAAATCATATTTCTCAAGGAGTGATAATATATTAAACCAATATTTTGTGAAAATTGGTTGGTTTTGGACCTTATTCATGACTGTGCCTTATGTTTTGTTAACATCATATACAACATGTTGCGGCAAGCGGCGACTTATTTTAACAGCTCATTTAACAAGATTGGTGGTTGCAACAATATTTTGGTATATTTGGGTTTCAGTTTTTAATGTAATAGAGACAACTTATGGACGTTGTAATATAAAAACATATGACAACAAAATATCATGTTTACAACAGGGTCATTTTTGGAATGGTTTTGATGTATCTGGCCATTGCTTTATTTTGATCTATTCCAGTTTGGTTATGATTGAGGAAGCCAAAGCAATAAATGGTTGGGAAAGAATAAAAGACTATATAAGAGATGAGAAATATGCTAGAAGTATAGATGATAAATCAGCAAGAATGAATCCTTTGAAGAATATCAGTACAGATGAATTGAACATTTTAAAAATGTGCTATGAAAATTTCACACCTTATGTGCGGGCATTTTTAATAGGTATTGCTATGTTGCAATTGTTATGGGATGTAATGCTTGTTTCAACAATATTATATTACCACATCATGGTAGAAAAATTTATCAGTGGTGTTATTGCAATTCTCACATGGTTTGTGACTTATCGGGTTTGGTACACTATACCTAACATATTGCCAAACTTGCCTGGTGAAGGATTATTTAAATACAATGGTAAAGAAAAGCTACCACCGTCAACTCCTGTGTACAGAAAGAGAAGTGCTACAAATGGCAAACACTTTATGGGAATGCCCATAGGTAAAAACCAAGATAGTGAGAGCACCTAAGAAGAAACAAGGCAACAAGGAGTATTTGGCAAATATAATTAATTTGGTACAAAGAAATATTTGAAGAATAGAAATGAAATTTAGGTGAAAACAAATTTATTAAAATCTGGTTTGGGATTTTTTTGGTTATATTAATTAGTTAGTCTAATAGTAATAGAAATCAAAACTTAAATGGGTAAAGGTTGATTTAATACCATAAAGGTTGATGGAATGTTAAATAGTCAAGCACTTTGATTAAGGCACTATACAACCTTTGCATTTAAATATATTTTTTATTAATATCAATGACAAGAAAAATATCAAGAATGTTATCTTCTCTAGAATGTGATGTTAATAATTTATTTATTTTCTAATTTAACAATGACATTTTGTAGTATGCTCAAACATTTGTTTGGCTATATATAACTTGTAAACTTTGATGTCAGTTGCAACATCACTTTGTACTAAACAAAATAACACTTTAAAGGAAACAATTGCTCAGTAATATTTGCTTAAACATTTCTTCATATCTTATCATAAGATTCTAAAAGAATAAAGTGTGGTATTCAAATTATAATACCTCATAACTTTTTTTATTGTGTTAATTAAGTTATTTGGGTTGAAATGGAAAAAGATGGTTTAATTAAAGCACCAAATTGTTCTACCTAATTGTAAGTGAAATGAAATTTAGCACTTATTTATTTATAAATAAAACTATTACTGTTGATGTTATCACTTTAATAAATATCTCAGAAAATAATACTGTTTGTTTTATTAACACTAAAGAAGAGATACATACATTTTTAATGACACTGTAAAGGTGTTTCTAATAAGTAATATAACTAGTATTGAATTAATAAAATAATATTGCGAGTTTCAGTGATAGCTCATGTAAGTTCAAGACTAAAATGTTGGATTGATCAAGTTAAAATTCTGGAGACCTGAATATGTAATGTTTTTTAATCATGTATTAAAATGAATCTGAATAAATATATTGTCAAAATAAGATTCTGATTATATCTCAAAAGTCTATCACATATTTCTTTCTAATCTTATGCTTTGTTGTTACTTTTATACTTCATGCTTGGTTTTTCCACTCTGGATTTAAGAGTTTTTTACTATACTATTTAAAATTTAGCATGACACATTGAGCAACATCACATACTTCTTTAATATAAAATTTTTTTGAAGATATACATGACTGCAAGTACCGCTCCCACAGACGCGGCACCTGCGGCTCCCAAGTACGCCGGTGGCTGTGACATAACAACCATTTTTAAGTGAACTGGTAAATTAGGGATTGTGCGTTTGAAGGAATCGCGCTGTTTTACACGTTCGTAATAGTTTTCTATCAGTGGCCGTTTTCCTTCTGCCCAAAATCTCCCTTCAAATCCAAGTTCCCAAAGACGTTGTAGAAGAACAGCTAAATTTATATCAGCTATACTGAAATGTTCACAGCACAACCAGTTACCTAAAAAATAAAAGGATCATTTGGATTATGCATGTCGCGGCAGGTAAAGAGGTCGGCTTTAAGTCTGCTACGATACGTTGGAACTTCGATGTATTACGCGGAGCGACTTTCATCAGACCTCCACAACCCAAGTACTACGAGTAGTATCGAAGTTCTGTAGAAAGACTGTTGTCGGACTTTTCGGATTGCCATGGATGATCGTATGGCAACCAGGACAATGGTCACCCATATGTTAAAAAAAAATTAAAGAACTCTCTCACTAGGAATATATCCTGTAGCAGGGACTTCACAAACAATCAACAAACAGGCACAAAAAACACCCAGACTCAAAACAACAATTTGTGGATCATACAAAGTGTTGGGATTGAACCCACAACACATGCGTAACATTTTTCCTTTATTTCCTACAATCTGTGGAGGTAATTTCATAAACAGCGAGCTGGGGAAGCACGCGCTATTCGATTTGACCAAAAGTGGTGCTAGAGTTGGTCGTCAGATGGTTGGTGAGATATCAAAAGTTTAAGTCTCACACATATGATGTGACACTTAAACGACGACTAGCTAGCTTTTTTTTCTTTATAAAGGTACAACATGACTTAAATGTGTGGATACTCTAAAATTGTTAAGCCTTTGCGGACTTTATCTAAATAAATGAAAACAATCAAATTAGTGTAAATTTAAAAGTTTATAATTACCTTCTGGTTGACTTTTCAGTTGTTCTTCAACTTGAGTGAACACTTGGTCTATGACGTTCAAAACTTTAGTATATTCTTCTTCATTAGTAATTATTTCATGCTTTTGTTCTTGTATCTCGGCTTTGTACAGCAATATACTTTTAGCTTTTGGATTTTCATCTGCCAGCTTCCTTAAATTTGCAGAGTTGCTCAACTCCCCAGCTGCAAGATAAACCCAAAGTACCTAAAGTAATCTAAATCGATCCCACAGGTCGACGACACCCTACAGGGGGTAAACGTGACTAAAAAAAAATAACTGAAGGTGTCCGATTAAACGGGGTCACCCTTATGGAGTTTTAGGACAAACGTAGGTACTGGAGTGGAGGGCAACACAATGAACTCCTTAATGCCATCAAACATTGGAGAAGTTCGCTACAACAAATCCTCCAATGGATTAAAGCCTAAAGGATATAGTCTCAGTTATCTAAATATCCTAAATATGTAGGACTATTACAGGACGATCTTGTCCTGAAATGTCAGCTATTCGCCATCAATGCGTATGACAGCTTTCTATGTAAAGGACAGAGGTAACATTGTCAAAGACAAAAAACGGGCAAGTATCTTTCCAGATACAAGATCGCTCTTAGAAGAGTGCAAGCACAGACGCCTCCTAGGGCGGCGTCTGTGCTTCTGGAACAAGCTAGGCTTTCTCCAACATCATCCTCACGCATTTTATGAATCGTTTATGAGAGTTAAATGCAAAAATAGAGCGCCCCAGCAATATCAACACATCTTAATTCTTAGTAATTAAAATACGTTTTTTATCTACAATTCAAATAGTTACTTTACTTTACTTTACTAATAGTTCTTATAGCATACTTATACCATCTCTCGTGTAATTAGAGCATTAAACCATGTTACTAATCATAAACTAAGCTCAATAATAGCTAATAATGTTTTAAAATTGATTGTTCGAGATTTTGTTGAGTTGCTTAACTTTTGTATTAATAAAAATATGTGGCAATCTCCATGGACTACTAATTTTAGTGGAATGAACTGTTAAATCATCGCAGTTAAACAGCGACATGTCTGATTAAATTGGTAACTTTATATGACAGGTTTTTTTTTAATGAAATGCAGTCATGTATATTTCCGGTAGCCAGGTGACAGTATTTTAAGCTACCCCTACCATTAAATATTTATAAGTCATTAGAATAAAAAGTTAGAATGGTTTTCCATTAGACAATATAATTTATATATTTATGACTGCCATGTTTGTGGGGTGAGTATTGTTGTCACTGATATGCTGTTGGATTTGATTAGAAGAATTTCAGTTTTATCATAAGATAATGTTTATAGAAATTTCGAAGAACCCATTTTATTCCTAATTAACGAGATATTTATGTGTGGGATAACATCAATTTTATCTTTTCTGCGTTTCGTGCTTCGTTTATACAGCGAATGAAGGTGTTGTTACGTTGTAACAAAGTAAATACACAAACTTACAAAAAAATAAATAAAGAAAAAAAGATCATTACACACAGACCAACAAAGTAATAGTTGTTACGATCGAATGGAAACCGCGCGCATTAACTAGTGATAACATCATAATGACCATATAAGGTAATCGTCGGTATCGGGAGCCAAATTTTTTTGGAAAACGAGCGCCACAGTGTGGGTGTTTAGAAATATCGAGAAGTGACAGTGGCTGACAACGGGCCGGCTGCCGGTGAATGATTACTTCTCGCTCGGTTGCACCGTTCTTTCCATATATCTGTCTCGTCTCATACGAACAGAAAGTACGCATTGTCGCCGCGAGGCGGAAATGGGCCGTCCCGATACAGAGGTATAAAAGCGAATCCGCTGAGGAAAGAGGGATTTCGACACCTGAGAGTTAATTGTTTGCGATTCGTATACGTGATTGTTTGTCCACAGTTTTAAAACGTTGTTAAATCCGTGCTATTCTAAAATAATAAAAATAAAAGAAGAAAAATTCAAAGCGGGTTTCATTATTTCTCAACCCCCTTGATAAGTTTAACATAATAATTACCAGTAGGTTTGGTTGCTGTTAACTAATTTTTCGTGTCCGGATTAATTCGATTACTTCAACAAGTGATCTTTTCAACCTTTTAACAGTGTAAAGAACATACTCGATAATAATAAGCTTAGTTTTTGTAGGGTAGTCTATAAAAAATTGCAACCGAGAATTGTATTCTAGATTGTTCATATGAATAATAAACTCATACTTAGGTAATTAAAATATTTGACACATATTTTAATCTCATTTAGGTTTTAAAGACAAGTATAAAATAGTTGGATTGTTAAACATAACATCTACTTCCTCGTACTAGTTAGAATAATTTGCACACATAGCTGGGAGATTTATTGATAAGATGTTGTGATAAGAGGGATTTCTCGATGTACCGACGAAATAAATATCAAAGGTAATTTTCCATTCGATATATTATTGGTAACTACCTGTATTTGTGTGTTGGTTGTAATGTAATCTTTTCTTTTGTGTCTCATAGCGTAGTGGAACGGTGATCGTGTCCGGCTTATAAACAGTTGGGGTTTGATTCTGGGTTGGGTAATTGTTTTATTTAAATATTTGTTTTTTTTTATTTCAACCGGACCTAAATGTCGCCACTCCATTCCGTAATTTTTTTTATTGCTTCGCGAAAGATGCCGACTTCCACACCTGGTTTCATCTAGTGCCTGGGTGTCGGATCTTTCGCGCTACAAGTGTCAATTTGACGCGTTCCAGGAAACTGGAGGTTCTCCGTACGGCTTAGGTTCTCCATACGGCTTAGGTTCTCCGTACGGCTTGCGTTCTCCGTACGGTTTACATTCTTCGCGCGGTCTGCAAGATCTCCGTGCGGCTTGCAATCACCGCACGTCTTGGCTTCGCTCTGATTGCGGAACACCACGCGACACGGTCTGCCGTCGCGAGCCTACCCGGATCACCGTGAACCACAGGACACCTTCAAGTTCCCCGAAGTCTGGAAAAGTTCCTCGCCAGAAGACCCTCCCCGCGTTACGAAAGCCGATAAACCAGATAAGTCCCCAGTGCAACCGGAAAGCTTCCTGTGCCAAGAAGTCACACCCTGAGACTAAAAAAAATATTGTAGTATAATTAATTGAATTTGTTTTTTTTTTAATTACAATTATAATCGAGTATTTGTGTGTTATTAGTGCCCGCTGACAGGCGGCCGGAACAGTGTATCTATATACGTGCCTCGACTTATTCGATTCAGTTCATTTGTAGGGAATAAGATCGAACGAAATCCTTAGTATTGCGATGTCAACTTTATTAGGATAGGTAGTTTATAATGCTGCACCTTTCTAACAGAGAAATAACTTATGATAAACTGATGGAGTGCATACTATGTTTCGACTATTAAAAGCAATAGCTATATATCGCACCATTTCATTCTCGGATTCTAATAATTGGTCGTAGCGTGTTGTTACATACCCTTCCTCGATAAATGGGCTATCCAACACTAAAATCATTTTCATTTCGAACCAGTAGTTCCTGAGATTAGCGTGTTCAACAAAAAAACAAACAAACTCTTCAGCTTTATGATATTCTAGTATAGATTAGCTATCATGAGATCTATTAGGAAACTGATATAATGTCAGAAGCTTATATTTTGGTCGTAGGACTACAATGAGCTACTTACTGCCTGTAACTGAGACAATATCAAATTCGAACTTATTTGGACCAACATAATAAACTTGAGAGACGTCAGTATACCAATTCATTTTTGCCTTACGCTTCATCACATTTTCCAGTTTAGTTCTCATTCTTTGTCGACTGAGAGTTAAAAATTTACATTTAGGTACATGAAAATAGGTACTAGTTGTTAATTTAAACCTATTTAGACTAATATATATATAAAAAAAACAGTAATATAAGCTTATTTGTTGTTATTTTGCAGCACTTAAATGAGACGAAGGAAATCCACAGGCGTAGTTGAGAGCCTACAGAAATCAATTTCTGTTGATCATTACACTACGTTTTACGTATTTATATATATATATATATATATCTATATATCTTCTATACAAATAAATAAAATTGAAGTGTCTGTTTGTAATGTCAAACTAATAGGTTTTTTTCATGCTCACACGGTTATTTGCACGATACCTATACCTAAAAATCAGTTTTTTTTTTTTTGTCTGTCTGTTTGTTCCGGGTAATCTTCTAAACGGCTGGACCGATTTCGATAATATTTTACTACCAGGTAGCAGTCTATATAAGGCGTAACTTAGGCTATTTTTTAACCGACTTCAAAAAGGAGGAGGTTGTCAATTCGGAAGTTCTTTTTTTTTTATAACTTCATCATAGATGGATTTTCATAATTCTTTTTTTGTTCGAAAAAGGTTTCTTCCGAAATGGTCCCATTTAAATTTCATATAGATCTGATAATGATTTATGCAGACAGACAACGGAACTCGTCAAAAAAATACAGCAAATCAACCGCAATTGTTGCTAGGTTTTTAGTGTTCTTTGTTAATTATAATATCCTTTCTAAGTTTTAAATAACAACTTATATTTCTTAAGAATTTTGAAGCTACAACTAAAATGTTATGAGTATAATTTTCAATTTTTGAGTTGAATCATAGAAAACCCGACAACACACTACGGTTTCTGATATCTTAATTTTTTAAGCTACAACATATATTAGTCATGCCTAAAAGAAAGTCATATCTTGGCAAGACCACGAGAAAAGCCAAGAGTCAAAGATTACTCTACGTGACAATGAATCTCAACAACACAGAGAAAATCGCCTTGCGGATGGTCGTTTACGGCAATCAACGTCCAGGGCGGATGAAAACAGTTATGAAAGGGACGAACGGTTACAGTTGGATAGATCACGACACTTATTGCTGGGAAGTCAAGAAGCTAAATATTCTAGGGAACAGCGACAAGAAAACGATCGTATTCAACATGCAATCTCTAGAAGTCATGAATCACAAGACTATAGAGAACAGTGACAAGAAAACGATCGTTTTCAACATGCAATCTTTAGAAGTCATGAATCACAAGACTCTAGAGAACAGCGACAAGAAAACGATCGTATTCAACATGCAATCTCTTGAAGTCATGAATCACAAAACTCTAGAGAACAGCGACAAGAAAACGATCGTTTTCAACATGCAATCTTTAGAAGTCATGAATCACAAGACTCTAGAGAACAGCGACAAGAAAACGATCGTATTCAACATGCAATCTCTTGAAGTCATGAATCACAAAACTCTAGAGAACAGCGACAAGAAAACGATCGTTTTCAACATGCAATCTTTAGAAGTCATGAATCACAAGACTCTAGAGAACAGCGACAAGAAAACGATCGTATTCAACATGCAATCTCTAGAAGTCATGAATCACAAGACTCTAGAGAACAGCGACAAGAAAACGATCGTATTCAACATGCAATCTCTTGAAGTCATGTTTATTTCTATATTCTTTATTCTTTTATACTTGAAAATTACTTGATTTATTTCGGGAATGCTCGACTAGCTTCGGACTCAGCAGTACGTGTCACTCCTTAAAAAAGTAGGTACTTTGGTTGTCTAGTAGTCTTTGAGATTTGACCATACCTGTCCGTAAAGCTAAAGTTGCGTTTTATAGAGTTCCACGTAAATTAACATCATGTCAGGATATTCCGCGGCAGTGAAGGTCAGTCACGGCATTATGGATGTTGATACCGGTAACCCAATAAAATTAAAAGACTAATAATTCACTCAGTTTCAACGCTACACTACACACAGAACCTAATATTGACACTTTTCAAAATAAAATTAGCGGGACTCGTTACAACACGAAGTCTTGCGCACACGATTACATTAGTTGTTCACACCATTGCCGTGTATTATGACGAAAGCAATAAGACTAAACAATTATTAACACAATAAAACTTTTCTAAACAAATATATCACGAACAACAACAATAATATTATTACGCTAATTTGTCGAGATCAATATAAGGAGCATCTACAAGGACACAGAACCAGTGGCCAAGGGCTGAAAGACTGTAGTTACTGGATGAACTAATTAAAAACGCGTGACCTTCATCCTGATGACGCAATAATCAACAAATTTCGTTCGATTCGAGTTCAGTAAAAGCGGCATCATGGGATTACCAGCTTATCGCCGCCTGAGGTCAATGTTTTATGACTGCATTTACACATGATGTTACAATGAATATATTTTGTTCATATTTTGCAAATCCTCTTGAAATAAAGTGCCGAATATGTGATTTACAGTTTCCTTAAAAGTTAGATGAAACATTGTATACTGTTAAACTCAAATAATGAAATTCCAACTTTTCCGCTGGGGCATCGCACACTGAGTCGCGCGCAGCCGACTCGCGTAGCTTTTTTAACGCTGCGTCTTTACTTACGGTACGTTAGCGGGGAGGTGAGGTAACGTTTGCACACATCGTGCTGCATGAGGGCCTTAAGTAGATAGTTTAAACTCTCGTACACGCTGACGTTCGCTTCATCGCGGCTAGCCACTAGGAATATCAGGCAGTTGAGACTCCGAAGCAAATAGAGAAAACCTAAACGGGAGGTAGATACGTCCGCTATAAACGTGCGTTTATTGTGAATTGTGTACATCATTTGTGAATTTTTGCATTTACAATGATTATATTATGTACATATTATGTCGAATTGTTGTCTTCATTTTTTAAGCCAAAGCTTTTTGTCTGACAAAAGTCACTTCAAAACAATTGTGTAACCTGAATATAGTTTTACTGTTTACTACTTAATTCTTTGTTCAGTTTTACATACGTGATATAGTTATTAACTCTTTACATGCCACCCCTCTGACATGTCACTACACTGTAAAGTGCTTGCACTGGTAAGCACTGTACAGTGTAGCGGCATATAAAGATGAAGTGTATTGGTATTAACAGTAATTAATAATACTTAACTTAAATAAGGCTCACACAATATCAAACCTATGATAGACTCTAAATCATATGGTCTTTTGGCTACACTGTCAGGTTTAAAAAAATGTAAATAGACCCTTAAAATTACAATAAATCTGGCCATAATGACCAGCTCTTTATTGTTGAAAGAAGTTTAATCAAAGAGAGGGAAATAAGAGGGCTGCTACCATGAGTCACTCAGGGAGGCTCTACTTAAAACGCAGGAATATCTGGCTAATCAGTGTGAACCCAAGCACTACCTACCATAAAACTTTAAAAATAATGGATACAGCATCTATAGATAAAGACAAAAAAGAAAATTAAGTGTTAATACATAACACGCAAGGTTACAAGCACACAAACTGTCAATTAAATTTACACTTATAACTAAGTAACTAATAACAAGTTACACACCTACTTACTTTTAAGAATTTCTCGTACTGGAAGAATAAATGGCAATTTAGGTGTTCCAGTTAATTGAGGTTGGAAAAATGATCCCACTGTGATCAGACCAGTCGGCAATGCTTCTATCATGTCACGAAATTTGTTGATGTCATTTAGCACTTTATTGTCGGTTGACACATTTATCAGTGGCTTTAAATCTAAAAATAAATATGAATACACATTTCATAACACTTTGTATTTCATCTTTACATACCTGAATGATACTAGTCATAATTAAGTTCAAATTGTTACTAACATCTTTGAGTCTTAGTTACTCCAATAAATAATTTATTATTATTATAAATACAAACCTTGGTCCATATAAAATTCCAAATAATCTAAAATCCTTGTAGAATCAGGAATTACCTGATCTTTAACTTTCAAGACAGGGATTTCACCACGAGGATTGATATCTAAAAACCAAGATGAATACTGTTCTCCTTTTGTTATATCGACAAATAATGGTTCAAAGTAAATATTTTTTTCGTACAGTGCGATTAAAACCTGGAATTAAAAACACAGCATTTTAGAGAACGAAAGAAGAAAAAAATTATTACACTCAATTGTCGTGTAAATAAATGCAACAAATTAATTAATATTTTAATAATATATTTTTTATTTGCTTACCTTTTGAGAGTAGCAGCTGTAATAGTTGCAATAGAGATAAATATTCGTTTTATTAACAGTAGTTACATTATTACTAACTTTGGGAAGTGGTAATTTTTCCAAATACTTCTGCACATAATGCATTTTAAATGGAAATAAAAGTACAAGGGGTAAACTGAACTAAACGGCTTTAAATAAAGCCTACTAAAACTCCATTAATAACACAAATCCTCAAACTTCTACGCGGTTTTTCAAATTAAACAAGAGCTACCAACATAAAAATATAAAAATCAGCTGACTGACAGTTGTATCTGGGTTGGTTCACACATCTCGTTTAAAATGGTAATGATTCTAATAAAACAGTTTTATTAAAAAAGGAATAAATTTATTCAATTTAGAAAGACAATCGTGCCAAGACACATTTAAAACAGTAATATCAACTACTATAACTTTTATGGCTAGAAAATTGAACATTATCAATAAGGAGTATTAAATAATATATATGGATACTATTGTTTATAGGGCAGGTTAACAAAATTTGTTAACTGTTTTGCGAAAGAAAATGTCATGCACAAAATAAAATCTGCAAAGTATGTACCTACCTGGTTTTTTTATAAAGTAAACCGATCAGTGTAAATCTAAAAAAAACTGCATAAATCAACGTATTTTAACGACATATACTATTATACAATATAATGCAAGTATTATAAAATATATACTATTTAATTTGAAAAATTAATTGACTGGTCTGTTGGTCTAGTATTAAGTGAACCTAACTGATAGGCCCAAAATCGTGGGTTCGATTCTGACTTAGAACAAAAACTGTGTGATCAGCACGATAATTTCTTTGTCTAGGGCTTGGGTAATTTATCTATGTGATGTTCTTATCTAAGTATGTTTCTCTACAGTCTGCTTACCATAGCACATACTCTGCCTAGTTTGAGATCAGACTGGTAACTTCACAATGTAACTTGAGATGTGTAAGTTTATTATTATTGTTTGTATTATGTGTTGTATTATTATAATGTTTCTAATTGAAAATTATAGTTCATTATGTAGACGTGATTCGATCGCATTTAACGTTCTAAAATATATAAATTTCTTACTATAAGCCCTTCAGATTTTTTAAAATTGTTATTAAATCATTTAAATACTGTATACTGAAAACCTCTGTTTCGTCAGGATAGTAAATTAATGCTCCAAGCTCCAATATGCTGCCAAACTAAAAAGGAGCGAGACAGGATTGCATCTTGTCTTGCAATTTGCTTTGATATACATAGAGAGTACATTATTCGGCTTCTCTAAAGGTAGAAAAAAGAAGTAACATGTATGGACGATATAAGTAAACTATTCCAAAGACTGGAACAAAGTGAAAAGTGAAACTGTCAACATCATTCTCTCGGTAAACAGAGCAAAAACGATAAGTTATTATCAAAGTTTATTTTAAAGCTTTCTTTGTCTTCTGAATGCTACCTATCCATCTCTCAGCGTTAGTGTTAATTAAGTTTTTAGTAGATTTATGTGGTAATCATTTTTTAAATGTAACACCGTAACTAGGGTATTAATTAGTGTTCTGTTGGCAACACTTTCTGTTGATATTAAACTTAAAGTAGATGCAAGTAAATTGTTTCCTTCTTGTTATTTAGATTTTTTGTAATGAATAACTGATAATGTGGTGCATTATTGTGATTGTAAACAACATGATTGTGTATTAAATGTGTCAATTATTATTCTTTGCTATCTGTCACTATCCGTATGAATAATACACGCTGAAGTGAAAATGGAGGTCTCTAACAACACCGACGCCGTCAACCTTGGCGTTGGTGAAGTTGAAGCAGAAATTGGCGAAGAATTAAAACAATTAGAGGAAGGAAAAGATTTTGATACCCGGAGTGAAGTATCTAGTTCATCTTCGAGTGACACTAGCACTCCGAGTATCAGTTCTGTAAGCACTAAATCTAAGGAGAGACGCACTAATCGTAAACGAACCAAGTCAGCAAGCCATTCACCTGTACAAAATAAACGGCGATGCGTTACAACCAGTATCAAAATTAAAACTTATGACTACATGACCAAGTTGAATTATTTATTCAGGGACACACGATTTTTCCTAATAAAATCTAATAATGCGGAAAATATAACATTATCTAAAGCAAAAGGAGTGTGGTCCACACTTCCTCAGAATGAGGCAAATTTGAATCAGGCTTACAGAGAATCTAGAAACGTGCTATTGATATTCTCAGTTAAAGAAAGTGGGAAGTTTGCAGGGTTTGCTAGATTAGGAAGCGAATCCCGTCGGGATGTTCCCCCTATATCGTGGGTATTACCACCTGGGCTTTCCGCCAAAGTTTTAGACGGCGTTTTTAAAGTTGATTGGATATGCCGAAAAGAATTACCATTCAGTAGTACACTTCATCTCTACAATCCCTGGAATGAAGGAAAGCCAGTTAAGATTGGTCGAGATGGTCAAGAAATTGAGCCAAAAGTTGCAGAAGAGTTGTGCAGGCTTTTTCCTGAAGATGAGGGTATTGAAATGACCCCAATTTTAAGAAAATCCAAGGAATCATCTAAAAAAGGATATTTGAAAAGTGGTGGCAATTATAGGACATACAGAGCACCATTATCTTCTCGAGGATCTAACTATAGAAGTCGCTTAAATACATCTTCTAGGAATAGAAGAAAGTCTTTTTTGTCTCCTAGAAGTAGATTGGCATCAGGGTCTTACAAGCGACGATCTCCTTCACCTTACTTGAGAGAACGTTTGCCAGCATGGTTTGGACGTAACCGAGAAGGGTATAGCAGTAGTAGCTCGGCAGCAGCTGAAGCTTATGTGGCAGAGTACATGCGATCAATGCACCATCAGCTGCCACCTTTGCCATACGTACCTCCACCGGGATTTAGTGGTGCACTGTCTTCATATGACGGAATACCTCCTCCACCACCGCCACCTCCACCTCGTTACTATGATTTAGCTGATTATCCGCGTTCAGTGTTAGTTTATGATAAGAGGTCTTATGAACGTTCAGTGGATGAGTTTCTGTGGCGCACTTCAGATAGGTCTCGTGGTCGTAGTCGCGAACGTGAAACTCACAGATCATACCGTGATCGACGATAAACTGTATCAAACCCAAATGTATTGATTTATCTGATAATGGCTAATAAAAAATTGTGTTTGAACTTTGAACTTTATTGAGTTAAATAATTTAAGTGACGTGGTGAACTATATAGTTGATAATTTGAACTTTTAAATGGATTAAAGTTGGACAGTTTTAAATATAGGTCAACCCAAAGGGACTAATGGCACTGGGTACTTTCAGTGAAAGTAAATGTGGAACACATATAATGTAAAAAATCTTTTTCAGGCTTTATGATGAAAGTAATGATGCAAGTGTATTTTGTCATAAATTCTATAGCTTTCAATATTATGGAACTTGTAACATTAGTCAAACATGGACTTCTATACAGAATGTTGGATAATGTTACAGTTGAAATATTGATCTTGACAATACTGTGCAACAAAAGTGGTTGTGTAATTCTGTGATATATTTCCACCTATTTACATGTTAAGTAATTATTAATATTACATTTATGCCTTATGTGGCTAATACATATCCACCAAAGAACATATTCCAAAAATGCATTTTTTAATAAAAAAGACACAATTTTGTAATCCTTTTAGACTGTCGATATTTAAATTTTCTAGTTCAGTATTAATAATGATTTTCATTAGGAACAAAGTAAAAATTTTCAAGTTCTTTAATTCACACATATTTATCTTTAATTTAGAATTCATCAATCATATCATATGCTGAAATACATGCCCAGGTGTATGTTTGTTTTTTTTTTTCATTTTAAAAGGTATTAAGCATTAAGTTGTGCTTGACCAGTTATACTTTTTTATTTATTTATCTACATGTCTTAATTTAGATCTTGGGGATAGTAAATGTTTATATGTTTACTATTTTTGCACTATTGTAACATTTCAATTACAATCTGCAGTATCATGTATGTTTAGAATTTCACTTATGTTTTCTTAGTGTTGATTTGTCTTAGAAAAATTACCTCAAAGAAAATATCTTGCCTATATTATAATCCCGTGTTGTACTCCCGTCTTTGTTTTAGTAGTTTCAACTATTATTTATTATAAATTATTAGATTACTCTTTATTGCTTATAGATTTTGAGTTTTGCTGCTGGAAATTTGGTAAGTATTATGTAAACTTTTACAAAGGTACAGACTATATTATGCATTTGATTCATATCTATGATAAAGCAAATCTATACTTCCATATTTATATTAGACATTTGAAAGTGAGTTTGTTTGTTATATTTTCATGCCTAAACCACTAAACCAATTTTAAAAATTCTTTCACTAATGGAAAGCTATATTATCAGCACATAGGCTACTTTTTACATGCACGGCGGAGTCGCCCGCAAAAGCTAGTAGATATTATATCGTACTTCAGTTATTTGAAAACGTGAAATATGTCTATTTCTAATATTTTTTAACTAGACGTAAATGTTAAAATATAATAAATAAATGTTTTTTCATCAGGATATGTTTATCCTCCTTCAAGGGATGATTAATTCAAAAGTCTAAATCTACGTTTTTCTTTCAAGCTTTAGGGGGTCTAGTGCGAGTTTATTTCACATCAATTCGCTCTTGAAAGTGACCGCGTTCGTTATTACGATTGTTGAATAGTTTAGAAGCCCCAGTGTGAGTTTACTACACACTAGCGATCGGCCCCGGCTTCGCACGGGTGCAATGCAGATACTACTAATGTGGTGTCAGTGTGGAGTAATTAATTATACTATTATTATGATAGGACTGTACTCCGGGGCATCTTTATATTATTATTATGCAATAATTATAGGCCCGCTCCGATCCTATGGCCGCTGCCACCCGGGATAGACATACGGTCCGATGCAGCGACCGGCCGCTTTGCCCCCGCATTTTAAACCTCCAATATCTTATATAATATTCATTTTAATGATATGCCGAAAACAGCTATTATAATCTACATTAAATGTGACTGGACAAAGCTGGTCTATTACTACGACTTATAGAGTAATCTTAGCTACAGCTGCAGCTAAGTTATACAGTTGTAGCTAAGATTACTCTATAAGATTTATATTAAATTTATTAATTTAATGTAGCTCTAACTTAGGTATAATATACATAAATAAACCAATATATACATTACTACATATATACATAGAGGTCCTAAGTCTACACGTACAATACATAAGTATCAAAATACACAGTGGGGTACTAGCGTTGTACCTTTCTGCCAACTCATTTTGGAGAAGATCTTGTACTCTTTTCTTGAACGTTAAGCGGTTAGCGGATATCCTGATTTTAACTGGGAGTGCATTCCAGAGAAGAACTGACTGTACATAGAAGGTGGAAGTGTGAGGGGGACAGAAGAGCCTGATTGCGGCTATCGTGCGGAGCGAGAGTGCGTGGAACTCTGCCGTCTCCTTTTGCGAGCAAGTTATGCTCGCGAAGGAGACCGCGGAGCGGGACCGGGAGAGGTTTAGAACTCTCCCGGCCCGCCAGGCCCGGGAACGGGCTAGGTACCGCAGGCGACTCAGCGCCTGCGGTACCTAGCGCCGGAGGTCGTTCTGCGACCTCCGTCCTCCATAAGCGCAGGCCTGGGGGTGAGGCCATCTGTCACCCTAGCAGAAGCAGGCCGGGGTGGCGGCGAGCGCGTTGCGAAGCGCGCTCGCTTCCAGGGAGCAGAGGGAACATGGGGTTCCCACACGGGGTCTACTCGTCTGTAGATGGCCCGAGGTATGTCGGGGCACCAGGGACTTCCTTTCTAAGTTATACCTGGTTCCCCGGCTATTAGTACCCGCGACGGCGTGCGGTTTTAGTCGGTTCGAGTCCGACATGCCACCGGTGGTATCCGAGGGGATTTCCGCACGGAAAAAAAAAGGAGACATAGAAGAAGCATATTATTTGTTGACCGAAGATTTTGGTCATGATTGGAGCATAGGAAATGGAAATTGGGAACCAGGTATTCAGGTGAGGGTCATAAGTTAGTGCACGCAGACTGCGGCGCTGACGAATTGGGAGCCACTTGAGTTGGGAATGTAAAGCAGACACATGGTTATACTTGCGAAGATTAAAAACAAATCGAATGCAGTTATTGAGAAGTCGGTCTAGCTTATTGAGAAGGTCTGCATTCAGGTTAAGGGTAATTAATGACTGCATTAGCGTAGCCTTAGTTTTAGTACGCAACGGCACAAAATTACTATATACTATAGGTACTGTAAATTTTAGAATGTTACCTAAATGTACTGCACGTTCGCTTTTTAGTAGCCATCCGAACTCGGTAGGGTCATGTACCAATTCCGGCGATTGCCAGTATTTTAATTGTATTATGTTAATTATTTAGTGTAAAGAAATGAAATTTTACATGTGCATAGTTGAATTAATGCATTAATTATTGGAATAGGTTTTATAACGCATTTCCTTTAAAATCTCGTGCAATAAGACTGCATAATATTGCATTTGAAACAGTGGTCCAGTCATGGTAAATTATCCCATAGCTCATTAATTACTAGGAGTACATCAATGATACTTGGTAAGATGTTGTAGATGCTTACAAGGTATGTATAAACGTTATAAACTAGACCCTAGTGCATAAGCACTAAATACTAGGACCTAATAACCTTATTTTACGTTTATATTTATATCTTCTGAATGGTATGGATTTTTTAAAATCTGTTTTACAAACAGTATAAACAAATTCAAAACAACGTAAGAAAAAAATCTACAGCTCTCTAGAAAAGCGTTTTATATGAAATCTAGCAAATGGCCAAACTTTTTCGAAACAGTTTTACCCACCGAGTTCGGATGGCTACTAAAAAGCGACCGTGAAGTACATTTAGGTAACATTCTAAAATTTCCAGTACATGGATAGGTTTAAATTGGTCAAAGTTTTTTTATGACTAAACTTTTTCGAAACAGTGTTTCGTGAATAACTCTGCAATGGTTGGATGCACAAATTTTAACTTACCATACACAATTACACGACGTCATACACTAAATATCCGTTACTCTCAAACGATAAAATTCGAACTTTTTCCGCTTTGGCAACGCACACTGAAAAGATCACACCAAGTCGATGACAAGTCGTAGACATGAACACACTGTTGTTGTCCCTGAAGATAGGAGGAAAATCATACCAGGGCTTCCGGGTAGTAAGTCAATCAAAGTCAGAACTGTGGCGATGTTAGGGAGGGTATGAGACCGAGTCTCATACCCTCCCTAACATCGCCAGTCCTTTTAGAAAGCGGTAATTGTGCTGTGACCACGTCTGAATCCGGATTGTGAAAGGCGAAGAAGCTTATGCTGGTACACAAACTGCGACAGCTGCTTATGTACACAGGCCTCGAGCACTTTTGAGAGAAACGGGAGTATAGAAATTGGTCGATAGTGTTCATTGAGAGAGGCGTTATTTTTTTGGGCAAAGGAATTATGAAGGCCTTACAACTGGTTGAGGGGAAAGGTCCGGAGTTGAGCGAAAAGTTAATAATATGGGCTATTGCACGAAGAATTTGATCTAGGGTAGTGACAATCATCCGACGGCTGATGGCGTTCGCGGTTACCGCACCGTTTCGACGGAGGCGGCGCGCGCACTGACCGGTACTTCCCCTTGGAATTCGTAGGCGAAAGTGCTCGCCGAAGTATATCGGCGGACGGCTGAGTTCAAGCGGTTAGTAGCAGTCGGCCCCCGCCCGAAGAAATACGCGAGTGGCGTGAATCCGCTCGCCGAGCCACGATGGTTCGTTGGTCGTCCCGGCTGGGTGCTGGCTTTGCCGCCGTGGAGGCGCTGCAGCCGATTATCGTCGAGTGGGCAGGGCTGCCGCATGGAACCCTTTCCTTCCGACTGACGCAGGTCCTTTGCGAGCACGGCTGCTTCTGGAAGTACTCGCTAGGAGGGAATTGAGTCCCGCCTGTCACCACTGTGATTGCAGTGAGGACTCGGCTCAGCACACGCTTGCAATTTGCCCGGCTTGGGCATCGCAGCGCCGGGTCCTTATTGCAGTCATCGGAGAGGTAAAGCTAAAAACGCCGCCCCGGGACCCGATGGCATACCTGGCCGAG